CAGGATCAGGATCAGAATCAGGATCAGGATCAGGATCAGGATCTGGATCAGGATCAGGATCAGGATCAGAATCAGGATCAGGATCAGAATCAGGATCAGGATCAGGATCAGGATCTGGATCAGGATCAGGATCAGGATCAGAATCAGGATCTGGATCAGGATCAGAATCAGGATCTAGCTTTAGATCCTGAAGGTGAAAGATCACGAGCTACTAAAGTTGAAAAATACAGGTGTCATTCTGGTTTAGATGAAACCTTTGGGACTAAATTAGCATCAAAGAATTGAAATGGCATCGTATCATACAGCTACATGTATTTAATCAAAGTACCTCAAAATACTGCATCATGTACAGTATTTGTAAAGTATATTCTGTTTATATGATTAAATATATATTTTATTTTATCAATGATCATTTTTCAGGATCTACGGCAACCCACACAGGCTGCCACAAGAGGTGCCATTAAGTACATGGTACATCTGGGGCTCGAACCCAAAACCTGCTGTGTGTAAAGCAGAGGTGATAGCCGCTTCACTATAAAACCATCTCGTTTTTAGTAAGTGTGAAGAATGGTAACTTGTAAATTCTGATTCCTTATATTTTCTTGCTGTAGAACAAACCTGGGCAAGCTATGGCTCACTTCACCACTAGAGGGCACTAAGTCCTACTTGGTGTACCTCCAAGACTACAATTCAGGACATGTAAGTTTTAGCACAAACTTTCTGTAGTGCCTGGCTTTGACTGTGACCTACTGTCTTAATGGACCTTTTGTCAAAGCTATTTTAAGCTAAGCTAACAGAAGCAGGAAATAGCTGCTGTTTCAAATAAGCCGCAAAAAACCACTTCAGAGCTGGCGTGGTGTGTTAGCTAGACACAGATCGGAGGAGCAGGTCTGCACTCAACCACATGGACACACACTGGACGCACTGTACACATTATCCACACCAGACCAGACGTATTGAATTTAGAAAAAGAAAAAAGACACACACACTATAACAAAAGACAAGCGGACAAAGTCTTACAGCTGTGATTAGCCATGCGCTAATGCTGAGCTCAATTACCATTTCTGAGAGCATTAGCTCTGCAGCAGCATTAATGCACATCTTTTAAAACACGCACTCTTGTTTTGTTGTGTGCTGTGAAGCCGTCATATGAGAGTCTGTCATATTGTCACGTATTCTAATGGAGCGACTCAGTGCTGGTCCGGCTGCTGACCTTTTCAAACATCATGAAGCCCGAGTCCCACTGAGGCGACCAACGTCCCGCTAATGCACTGTTTTATTTGTTAGCTAGAACAAAAATGACATTTACAGTTTATTTCCAGGCAGAAAAACTGGATTTTGAATCGTCTAATGGTCCTGATAATGTTTGGAGTTTTTATATTTTAGTTCTGCACCAAACACAGTCACATTTTTGACTGGATTCTTGATCTTCAACAACAGCACAGCCACTGGACAACCACTCTAGACAGTAAAAATACAACAATTCTTTTTAATACTATGCTAATACTACACACTACATATGGCAGTACTGATGGAAGTACAGATGGCCGTTCACTGCTCATCCTGGCTGAAGTGACCTTCAGCTCGCTTCAGTGACAGGACCCCCCCCCCCCTTCCTCTCCCCCTGAAACTCACTGTTTTATATTTAAAACACAAACAGTACACTTTTTAAAATATATATATTTTGTACTTCTTTTCCCATTTCTCTCATGTTATTCTAATATTTTATTGCAAAGTAAAACTTTCTAAAAATCTTTGACTTTTGAAGAAACATTTCTCTTTTGC